CATGCATAAGTATCGCCACATGCTGGTGCGGTCAGCAGAGTAGAAGACGGCTTATAAGTCAAGGAAAACAACCCTAGTCGGTCCTCTGTATGTGTGACTCTGCTCTACACTTGGAGAAGAGTAAATATTCGGTCGATACAACCGCGACCGGGGATCAGTAAGTCCTCCGAGAATGATACCCGTCAGAAGTTCAGCGGTAAGGAAACAAGGCTAACGCCACGATGATTTTCGCACAAAGCATCTAGACCCTTTTTGCAAATGGGTACGACAGTTGACAGTCACCAGCCTGAAGGTACCTTTTCGGTGTTTGGAATCGTGTTACATAAAGAAGCGAATCCAGTCAAGAAAGAGCACCACCAATTTTCAGCAGAAGTGGAGGAAGGTCGTCGGGTCCAGGAGCATTGTTTCGTTTCTACACGAAAAATCCATATCGAATCTCTTCCAAAACTGGATGTGTAACATCTAATTCCCCCGTCAGCTCAGGCGATTCGTTAAAGAGCAGTATCGCGCATTGCCTGATGAACTGCTCTTCAAAATGGTCCGCACAACGGCCTAATCGACGACGTTGATAATGGATCAACTCTTCATCTTTCTCAGCTATTGTCTCGCTAACTGATGGTTTTCTCGGACCCGTGTTCCGGATGAGCTGGAATAGCACTCGGCTGTTCCCAATAGCACTGGCTTTCTCTTTCTCACGGGCCCTTGCCACCCACCAACGTTCTTGGTCGATTCAGAGACTCCTCGTTAGACATAGTTTCAGGCCGTTACGGACATGTTGAAACTCGGTGCCCGTCGGAACACGTTCCAGTGCTTCGATCAAGCTGATGGATACCACAAAAATCCGTTCACAGTTCACTCATCTTAGTAATATATAACTAAATCCACTGGAATCTGTTTTATAGCAACGCAAGTGAGTAAACCGTAAATTACTGTTGAATGATCTACTCAGTGCAGGAACACATCTTTCCATATTCCTTCTCTGAGAAATTAGTTCGACGGTCGTACGTAGATTACCCGACTCAAAGACAGCATCTCTTCACCTCTAATCGCAAACACCATCTTTCTTTAGGGAGCTGTTCTGTCACCATTTCGATTTTCACTCACGTCGGCTCACTGACAGTCCCTGAGGAGGAGACTCTATTGAAGTAAGCGGATGACATTGCCCTGGGCATCAATCAATCGATCGCTGCCCCCTTTAGTCAGATTATTGGATACTTTTAACGTTGTCACATTTCAACGGAAAGTTCGCGAGCTGTCACTTAACAGTTAAAAGTCCAATGATGTTTGTTCCACTGCGCAGAGAAGATAAGTGTCAACAAAGCTTTCCATCCAAAGGGACCTGTTAAGCGTTCGTTCTTACTCGAGATACACCAGTGTTCCAGGCAATGCATGTAACTCCATTTCGATGGTTAGGGGTTGCCCCTTCCACATCAGTGAAGTACCCAAGTGTCACGCATGTGATGTATCATGGTCATATTATACGAGTGAAATGTGCACAAAATTAGCACTCTGTTGTACAACGTCTCTGTGCTTCGTGATTTGATACATCGTTTTCTCACTGCTTGTGTTCTTCTACTCTGGGAGTACTTCTGTCTACCAACATTTCCTGATCTACTGGGAAGGCATATCAAATTAACCGCCAGGTCATTAAAACAGTTGTCCCGATGTGATGGCTTGCTGAGGTTGGCTTTTGTTGACAAACATGTGTCCACTTACGTTAGTTCTAGCAAAAGACCAGCGTTAACCATATTTGCTGACACAAACCACCCCTTTTATAGCGTAGTATCGGAATGTATGTCAGCTGAAAATTCACCCTTCATGGGTGTACAAAATAGAACTCTTGAAAATACCTAGCCAAGCAAAGAGAAGTACAAGTCCATATATGCCCGAACACAAGCTTGCCGTTCGTCAGTCGTCCCTCATGTGGCGCGATTTGCTCCAATCCATAACAATGCCGTTGGAGAGTTAACCAACCAGTTTTTGTTATGAGGTTATTATGTGTCAATTATGGTTTCTCCGTTCTAGACGCTTTTTGTATCTTTCTTCTTTTGCAACATTACTAAAATCGTGTGTGTTACGGCTGAGTATCCACCCGTCATGAGAGCGTAAATCCCTTTTGATTTGAATGATTGACACTGATGATTGGCTGGGTGGGGGCACAGTCTGATTGGATCGGGGATGGCTGACATCGGGCCATGTATAGCATTTGGTTTAGGCTTCCGTATATGACACCTTTATCGAATTGACTCTAGGCTGGAAGATGCATCTAACCAATGGAAAGAAAGCTCACCTGTTTTCATGAGATCATGACATCCACTTCACTAACGCGCTTAATAACAATATTTCGCACTAACATGAGATACAGACCAGTGTCTCGCTCACTCCTGAAACTCGAAAAGTGGGTACTAGTTCGAAACATCGCCAGCATTTCACTTAAACTGATGAAAGTACAAACAATCCTTTCACTTCCCGAAGGTTCTTTGGTCTAGTTAGTAAGTGATTTCACGCAAAGCTTTCATAAAATACTACTAATTCCATTCATTATTTGGCTTGTAGCTTCGTTTGCCAGTGAGAGCAGAGGTTCCAACTTAGCTCGTTGTTGCTGTTTCACGCAATGTGAGTTCAGGTGACAAGTAAGAGGCCTCCAAATAAAGGGATTCGCCGAGGCCAGGTGAGCGCTGTACACAAGCGTTCCAGTCCAAATGACAAGTGTGCACAAACTTGCGTTCTCTGCAGATTATCGTGATGCGGTATGTTTAAGTTGCTCATAGTGTATCGGGTGACAGGTTGCGAACACCCATTCTGCTGTTATGAAGGTGGTTGCCGATGAGCCGAAGGCTGACTAGGCGAACAGCCTTCTCGTGGTGTCAGCTGGGTGTTTCGGAGCTAACCCGTTCCAGCAAATATTTCGGCGGCAATGTTCCAGGACGCGGTGGGTTTTCGCCTGGCGAGCGTTCTCCCTATAAAAAGCCACAAATCACTGTTAATCAATACGGCGACGTGGCGGATGTGACTCCCCACCAACTAAAGTCACTGCCCCGGATAACCCGGTTCATCTCACGGACATCAATCATCTATTTTAGGTTGCCGACACTATCAAACAGCCAAGGATGCAGCGGTACACTTACAAGCCGAAAGTACACAGTTACACACCTACGTAATAACATAGATATTCCCACCCCTACACAAACACTCACTGTTACGGTAACCACGTTGAATTTTTCTACATGTTTGATCACGCTTTATTATTTAACATGAGCATGCCTGTAAAGACGTGCCTCGATTTGTCGAGAATAAAATTTTTATTCATTTAACTCAAACTGGCCTTCGGGGTGGAACAGATGACGATACGCGATCCAACTAAGCGTTCACGTAAAAAAGACAACTAGTTTACTGTTTATATTTTTGTCATACTTGTGCTAATAGAATTCATGTTTAATGGTAACCGGTCTACAGTGGGACAGAAGCCAGTGGAAAGATGATTTATCTTTTACACATGTAGTGGTGCGTTGCGCCTTTCAGTAATGTACAAAGTCGAATGGAGACGCCTAGTCGAATGGAGACGCCTAGTCGAATGGAGACGCCTAGCCGAATGGAGGTCATTAACTCCAAGGAGTAGATGAGCCTCGCACCGGTCCCCTGTCCGTGTCTAAGGTATAAGTGTGCTACATAATCATGCCCATTGAGCAAGCGAGAGGAGATCCGAACTAAAATTGCGATTTAAAAAACCCGATGGCATTAGTTCGGTTGGCACTCAAGCACAGGAAGAGATTTGTGTCTCCATTGTCAACAGTGCACCACCCAATTACCTGCAACCATGTTTGGGTTGTCCAACTGTCAGGATTTTCTTGTGAGTTGCAATAACCGTTGGGGCCCTGGAATACGACTACAGCGAAAGTAAAGCAAATCCCTGTTGAGGTCGCGCGAAACGATGCAAGCCCACTGAAAACAATTCATAGGCAAAAGAAACCCTTATTGATAGGCTGCATCGGGCACCACCTACTCGAAGTATGGATTACTACCCACCCAGTGAACTATATGCACTGAACGACTTCCCTGCTGGTGGCTGTGCGATGGGTAACAGTGGTGAGATATTGTCTGTTCGGCTACAGTGCACTTTAGGGGGATTCAATTCCTTCTGCTTCGTCACAAGTTCAATGAAGACTGCCGATCGAGAAGGAAGCGTGTTTTGAACTGGATTTGGCATTTACAAAGAAATAGCATGCAGTCTATTAGACAGCATTCAGCAGACCTGAATTAGCGCCCTATTTTTATGGGAATCGTTGAGAGAGAGAGAGGACATCCTAGATTGGCTACGTCAAACACTTTCACTTGTGCGTTCAACTAGAGTATACGTTTAAGTGAGAATATAACACTGTTGTAGTCATCGTAGTCAGGTGAGCTGAAACGACGGCTCGTGGGTAGGCTCAAGCTCACTCGGCGGAGTGGGGATGGTGTGCGAACGCAAAGCACGATCTCGCTTTGCTTATCTACGGCATGTAATCGTATGCGAAAATACGCAGTCAATCAATGAACCAAATGGCACCGAGTGTATCCGCGTCTCGAATACAGCTGAAATCACATCCAATTGGCCGTGCACCAGTTGATCGGCCCAAACACTGTCGCCAGCTTATGTAAATGCGCCGTCAAGGCTAGCGGACGGAGCCGATGTGGCCTTGAAACCGGCGCTGCAATTGGCCTTTCACGAGTGATCGTTCATAACCGATGTCGCTTGGGACGTGCGAGCACAACCTCAAACGGCAGCACGGATGAATTCGGTGCATAGACCGGCGGACGAGGACACGTAGAATCGATCCACACATCGAAGTGCACAAAAGTGAGCAACAGTGGGTGATGATAGGCAACACAGCGACAAAAGGCAACGTGAGGATATACAACGTCCAAAGGTTGTTATCGATCTCGGCACGACCGCCGCTCTCGTTCTTGCAGTGAGTGCGAACGGGTGAAGATAGAGACGTGAGCAAGTCACAAACGAACATATGCCATCCAGCGGGAAGCTAAAAGCGGCAGGGAGAAAGAGGCCCTATTGGTTGGAGGCAAACGGGGACCTACTTCGGAGGGTAACACTTACCAACGCAGAGACGTATGACTACAACCGGGCATACGAATTGGTTCCGAAGGCGCTTACATCGAGGCCCATTGTTCGATGCAAAGCTCGCTGCACATCAGATGCGATCAAGCTGAAGAAAGCATCAACATTCGGTGCCCAGCCGCCACGAAAAGTGTACCTATACAAAGATATAGAAAGGTTTTACTCGTTCGCTAACAACCCAGGAATCTTAATTTTAGGATGCATGGATCCAGAGCGGAGGACGCGTAGTTATGAGTTCTTCAAATTTGAAGATAGGAATGTCCAGGAGATTGGCGATATAATTAATCGAGCGCGAAAGCATCCCATGTGCATTCTAATGGATGACGAAGGTTCCATGGATCGTTACCAGTCATCGAAATCTAGCTTGACTGGTGAGCCAGAAGCTGTGCATGACTTAGCCGAGGCAGGAGGTGAGGAAGAAATGAGACACCCGATGGAATCGCCATCAACAATGGTGAATGACCAAGTGACGGGAGACCAAAATGAGGTGGCCAGCGTTGGACACACGCCCAAAGACTTAGAGCGATCGAGTCCCATCCATGCTACCGAACCCCAGGAAGAGGATACTGGACAGGAAGATAGTCATTCAACTGAGCACTTCGTTTCTCACGATGATAAGACGCATAATCCGATTCCCGTTCACCTGCTCTCAGACCCATTGTTCAGGACGCTTTGCGAGCATATCAAGGAGGAGGATGTTTGGGCTGTGGACTTCAAGTACGTTGGGAACCACCCCAAATACGGCAGCCAAATAGATCGGAGAGGTGGAACTTATTTGTTTGTGGCACACCACAAATATCCGGAACACGTCAGTGATGAGAACCCTCTCTCTTTAGATCAAGATTTTGAGAATAGAGCAGAAACGGCTTTCACGGTCAGTTATCTCGAACGCTGAGCACAACTCAATCATATCTGTGTCTCCAAGATACAAAGAATACCCATTGCCTGCTGTCATGTGACACGCAACTTATTCGCGATTGTTTTAAATGATGGAATACGAATCGATTTCCCCTCCTTTCTCCGCTGAGATGCGAAAAAGTTACACTCGCCATTCATGTGAGTGATTCAGAACGGTTTGTTTTATTTATTGTTAATCCTATTCCAATAGGTAGACCCATCTACCAAGTATGACAGAGCACATCTTTTTAACAGTTAACAACGGTCTGAGACAAGATTTATTATAATGTCTCCCTAATTTTCGCTACCCGCACAAGTCTTAAGTGAATTAAGCCTATTTTTGAAATAGGTAGGCCACGTAGTTGAATTCGGACAGGCCAGTTATCAAAAAGACGCCTGAATGACTGGATCGATCTATTCTGCGTCCTTATCCCCGTGAGCATGATGTTAATGAACGGCTAAGAACCCGTGTAATATATCCAGAAACGGTTAAACGATGAGCGCGGAGCGGTGGTCCGTCTATCAAATATGATACTGCCATACGTGAAACTGATAAAAATAGGTCCTTAAGGTCGCGGAGCATTGGTTCTGCGGGTCAGAAAGTCGAAAGAGACAACGAAATGACTTGCGGATTTACGCGCAAATAATGCGTTCCGTCTTAGTTATGGAATAGCCAGGTTCATCCAACAGTTGACTAATAGTTGAAGGACGCGGTTATAGTAGTTAATTCTCGAGTTACACGAGATATGCCTGTCAGGAGTTCGGTGGTATGCAACGGATGATCATTTGCGTCAGTTAGTACAGCACAACGGAGCGGTGCAGGGTGGCAAACACAGGCGTCCTGTGCTTTCCCCCGGAGAAACGTGTGCATACAAACGTGGGAATGAGCAAAAACATTCAGTTGGCTGCATTCAATTCAGTTAACTCCATCAATTATGATCTATGCACCGAGGTCCATTGAAATCTGAAGCCTTTCCTGAATTTGACAGTATGAAAGAGATGAAACTGTAAAAACAAATAGTATTGGTCAATCAACTTTCCACGTTCTCCTATTCGCGGGACTGAAGGTTAAAGTTTGGTTAATACTTAGCCGAAGACACAAAAGCTAGTGTCCGCATTCAACTGACCAGAAGCTGACCAACGAATGAGTTGAGTCGCTAAGTCATTGACCCCACGTAATTAAACTTCGGCGCAGTGACCTTTTCGAGTTCACTGAGACCAAACATGCAATTAGGTGAAAAAATATTGTTTGTAGGTGCAACCCAGAGTGGGGAATGCGGGATTCCAGCTGTGAAGTGAAAGAAAAGTTAGTATGTGGAAACAAAAGTGGGTTAATCTGCAATGGCGTGTTTTGAACTGGAATGATGAAGAAAGATAGAGACTAACAATACACAAATCAAGTAAGTGATAGTACATGGGTGTGCAAAAAGTCGGTCAATTGTGGGGTTAGAAAAATGTGTGACGAGTGTGCGTAGTAGAGTAGCTATAACTCGCACATCGAAATGCAATGAGACCATTTGCATTAGTTCAGGCGACCACAGAGATAAAAACAACCTGTTCGGGAGTATATGTGGAAGGGTTTCAAAGGTGAGAATCCAGAATCCCAAGTAAATAATACGGGGAAGAGATGTCACAGCATAGACGAATGTAAAATATCAGAAAGTTTGTAATCACTTCTATGGCGAAAATCTTGATCGATATCTAGGAAAAAGTGATGCAGTAACACTACCAAACCTTTCAGCCAGCTCATACTCATGCTTTGCATAATCCGGTAAACGATATGCTACCAGCAGGGAAATAAGTCTGATGGTTATCCGGCATGTGAAGAGGTGGACTAATCTTCACAAATAGTCCAGAAATACAGAATCAGTATGTCAGGCAGAACACACAGAATCAATACCATTCTGAATCGAGCAGTTCCACACGTAGTGGTTCCAGGATGGCGCTGTTTTAATGTCGATGCGGCCAGAATGCCCACGTTCGTAAATTGTGAACTAATGTAGTGAGCAGGAACATAATACCGAAACTTTTGATGGTGTACTAAGAGCACAAACGTTTCAAGGATTATACTCTGAAAGTTGTACGGACACACACACATTGTGCCATGTCCATACATCACTATTGACAAATGGCTGTAATGATCAAGGAGCCGATTGATATCAAGTAGAAGCCAGTGAATTTGGTTTGTCGAAACGCTGAGAAGGCAGGACCCGTGACTGCGCGATACATCCTACTGCGTAGGACAACCAGGTGAAAAGCTGATATTGGACGAACTACTTAGGATGACCCCCATATTAGCAATGCGCAATGTTTGAATAAATAATGCTGTAAAAACACGCTCGAGGCTCTGTTAACGGTGACGATAAGATTTCCGGGAGAAATGTGATAATTCCGCAAGTGTTGCTAGTTGCACTGACCAGACACCAGAGTGGGAGTATGGAGCTAAGCTCACGAGTAGTATCAAACAGGATGGTTCCAGTGAAAGTGGCAGGTTCGTGCATTAAGGCGGTTCCACCTGCTCTCAAACGTCATTATAGACAAGGCTGCATTTGAGGTCAGTGAGGTTGAAATCTTAGGCATCTCCAACTTGTCGATCGTCATTGTTTGATGAACAATGCTCTCACCGCTTCAAACCGGCAAACCGCAAAGTATAAATGCGAATAACCGAGTGGACGATCACTACGGAGATCAGTCCTCAAGGTCATTTATCTCTCATTTCAAATTGCAGTGCTTAAGTAGGAAAATATGTGAACACCTTATCATCCGACAGCTTTGCTGACCTCTGTTTACGTTCTCCTCCAGTGCATCGTGGAGGTCTCAAGGTCTGTTTGTTCACACAAAATGAGGTTTCCCATTTGCGAACGGAATAATATAGCGAAGACTAATGGTGCTCAATCTAGGGGGAAAATGGAATTTTTATGGGGAATAGACATAAGTACGAAGATTGGGTCCTAACCAGACAAAATTAATAACAATATTATCTGCACTAAAAGTGGAAACTGATTACCTAGTTACTGTTGATGAACCATCGTTGCCTAGTTATTAGTGATTGGTCAGTGAATCGGACAGTAATCGATAATACAAATCTAAAACACAGCGCAGCTAGATGGCGCCTCTTTCGGCTAGCTCGTCTATCGCTGCTTTTTTTGAGTCAGGCAGTCGTTCGCTAGAACCAGTTACAGAGCCGGGTGAACACTAAGGTGTTAGCATAGGTCAGCTGACCAGGTAAAGGATCGAGCGAATGTGTACAAGATAGCGGAGGCCAAACAGGCGATTAGTGACCACGACGCATCGATAGTAAATGGTGGGGGGGGGAGCTGTATTCCAGGAAGGAAGGTCTAGTTGAGTCTAACGACAGTCCAATGACATCTGTTTATGTTTGATCAGGAAGCACACAGCAAAGCAAGGAACCGAAAGAATTGTGAGAACGATTTACCGTGTGAATCAGCCGAAACTACACCCAAGATACCAAAAACTATTAGAACTAAGCAATATGAATCGTCTCAGTAACGTACATCATCAATTGATTTTGTTAAAATATTGCTCAAAAATAGGTGTTTCTTCTACTTGGACGATCGAAAATAAGTAAAAATAGAGTTTATTTTCCGTAATTTAAAGCAGAATATGTAATAGTTAATTATCTTTTTGAACTAAACTATTTTGGGGTAAATGTTTATAGTGGCCCAGCTTTGGGGGGTAACAGTCACAAAAAGGTTGAGGACAATTGGCGTAGACTGATCTTAAGGAGCTTAGATGACGCCTCAACTGAGCTAGTCGGCTTCGATGTTCAAGCCATAGCGTGTTCTATGAAACCAGATTGGCCTGCGTACCAATGTAAGAGGCATTGACTGCATTCCTACGTCATTTAAAGTAGACTATACAGTCACCTGTCGGTGTTTTGTGCCTAAACCTTCTGCATGGATTACTGTTACCAGCTTGTTAACCTTGCCTAGTGCCGAAATATGTGCCAGCGAACATTCACTGTTCTGACCTGTATTATGTGTAAACCTACGTGCTAAATTAGAATTTCGCGGAGAATTCTCAATACATGGTTGGCAGCATCCGGTTCCGGATTTGCCCGTCATTGTGGCCTCCATAGGAAAGCCACAGAACGCTTGTGCCTACAGAGAGACCATGGGTGCTTTGTGCTGCACTACCCACATTTCCATCCATACAACCCATATCTAGTGTAAACCCGAAGGAATAAGACCGGGAGGCATGTGGATGGGAGTCACATTTCATCAACGGAGCCGGCCCACACTCCTTCACAGGCAAACACAAGCACGCTGTATGTGGGGAATAAAGCGCATACAAGGCGGTGGCTGGACCGTAGTCCACTCCACACTGGATGGAACCACTGTTTGAGTCCAGCACGGCCATGAGGACCGTGCAACCCGTCCCCCAGCAACGTTCCACAGTCTCCTTGAGTCAGTGATCCAGGTGGAGGGTAGGGAGGTAGGCAGCTTGTCAGCATTCACATCAGACGCAGCCACACCGGGAATATCAAATAAAAGCCGATCACTTGAAATAACAATATCAAACAATACTGATCGAATAAAGCATACGGATACAGACCTAACTCTTCGCTAAAAGAGCATATGCAACCACTTGGTTATCAACAATCCACCATAAGTTCAAGATATCAAAAAGGTTTTCTTTTTTAAAATGGTCACAAAAGCAGAAATGTTAAGGAATATAACCACAATCTGTTTAAGCGACGTGTGTAGGTAAAATGAAGCCTACTCAGAGAGGCATTTAAATGCCTAAGCAAAGTAAGAATTTACAAAATGTAGCAAACCAGTCACCTGAAATAAAGAAACTCAGCCCGCAAGCTCGCGGTTAGTAAATCGAACGCAGCGTACCTCCCAAAGCTGCGCCGGTTCTGTCGAGGTTCTTAGCAGGACTCATCGTCTTTTTGATGCAGGTTCTGGGTGTTCTCGCTCGTGATCCACTAGATCTGCCTGACTCAGGTAATTGCGACCGCATGTGCTACAGCAC